ATATCTATTTTGACGAGATGCTTCCATACTAGTATCGGATGAATCTTCAACGCGCATGGCATCCCTAGAAGAAGGCAACTGGATTCTTCGCGGAACCAGGACAGTAGTAACTGCAGAGACCCAAGTTGCATTTGGGTTTCGATTAAAATCATCAGGACTACTCCTAGACCTACTGGTGGAACTAGGATCCGTTGGGGGCGTGAGACCTGACATCCTGACCCAAACAAAGCTGAACTTTTGCGAACGGCTGCAACTCACTTCACTCCACGCGAGCTTTGCTCAGCGTCCCAAGCAAGTGCCAATAGACAAAGATGACCGAAGTGGCACAGTATACTACCCAAACCAACTACTATAGATCTTTACAAGTTGGATTGATATGAAGATAGTAAAGTGCAAAACTGGGTAAAACCCTTGACGGATGCAAGTGCCAAGTTGCACGCAGCTACAAGACACAGCGAAAAGACAAAGACAGACCGACAACGAGTAGCGAGCAAACTCAGCTACCTTGGAATTCGGATGAACCTAAGTCGGATGTTGCAGGGCCACCAGACTTGTGCCAGTGCCTGCTTGCTGCGTTGGTTTTCAGTATCGCCCTGTTGGATAACCCCCCACTCAAGAAGGAATTGATTGGGCTTGAGAGGTTGGGCTCGACGGGTCCTTAAGATAGTTTCCACGCCCTCTTGAGCAATCCAATCTTCAACCAAAACAAGGTATGAAAGATCTTTGTCCCGCTTCCCCTCAGACTTAAAACAACGGATGCCAGAGTAGTGGCACTCGTTGAGCACGTCCTGGCGATCGTCAACGATCGCGTGAGCCTTAAGAGCGCAAAGGATGCTACTCTTGCCTTCTGGGCCGCAAGGCCGGCGTGCAAAGTGAACGTCTTCGAGGGGGATGCCCTGGGAAACAAGATTGCCAATAAGGTGTCGCGCAGCACTATCAGTGGCGTCGATCTTGCTATATCCAGCGTACGATACTATATGGAACTCCACCCTGTTTTGGGCCACCGCGACAATACGTCGAAATTTCTCTATTAAACGTCTCTGTCTAAGAAGCCAAAAGGGGGGTTAAAGCCTGGTCTAGGGTATACACTAAGACCACTAATTCCAGATATTTTCACTTTAGGCACTTAATGGAAATATTAGTACTTATTTGAACTTATCATAGAACTTATTTTAACATATTTTTACTTATTTTTACTTATTTTCACTTATTTTTACTTATTTTTACTTATGTTTACTTATTTTTACTTATTTTCACTTATTTTTTTGATATTTGCAAAGGTTCAGAACTGATAATAGACGAATGATTTTTCTTTTATACATTTTGAAAAACACAACTGAATATAAGAAATAAGTAAAAAGTTTTGGGTAGGTTTGCATTTTTTTTTCAGTATCTATTATCCTTTTCAGGATATTCTCCTATTCAGGAACCATCCTTTTCAGGAACTACTGTATATCCTTTGCCTTGGGAGCCATGGCAGAAGAGAAGCAGCGGTTCAGCACAGACTAGCTGCTAAAGTATGGCTGCGAGTCATACCATAGATTCTCTCATAGCTGCTTGTAATGATTGTGAAGTAAAATATGTTGGAAAATACAATATATATATATATATATGTATAGCAAAAAACATTTTGAAACTCAAGATGTTGAAACGATAATTCCTGAAAAGGATGTAGTTCCTGAAATGGAAAGTTTCTGCAATGAATCTTTCAGGTTGAATGTAGCTTCCTCAGAGGAATGCGTTTTCCTTTTTAAAATTCTAAATTTACTGAATTCTAAATTATCTAAATTTTTGAAATTTGGTAACTATTTGGAATTGTAAGTTATCAAAAGTTTCTGGATTCTGTTTTTTTTTTATTTTATGATTTTTCTGGATTCTATTTTTTTCCATTTTCTGAATTTTCTGGATTCTATGCTTTTTTGATTTTCTGAATTTTATGGATTCTTATTTTTTGCTTCTATAAAGTTTCTGGACCTTTTTTTGGATTTCCTGAATTTTCTGGATTCTGAATTTTCTAAATTTTCTGGACTCTATTTTTTTTTGGGGAGTTTATGTTTTTTCTTTTGGATTCTGAATTTTCTTCTTTTTTGTATTTGAATAATTTCTGATTTTTCTGGATTTTGACTTGTCTGAATTTTCTCAAGTTTGAGCTTTCCTTTTCCAGAACCTGAATTTTCAGAAAATTTCTAGATTCTATTTTCTTTTTGATTTTCTAAATTGTCTGAAGTCTATTTTTTTGATTTTCTGAATTTTCTGGATTCTTAATTTTCTAAATTTCTAGATTCTTTGTTTTTTTGATTTTATAAATTTTCTGGATTCTAACTTTTTTGGATTGTCCAAATTTCCTGGATTTTGTTTTTAAGAATTTTCTGGATCCTATTTTTTTTTGGATTTTCTAAATTTTATGGATTCTGAATTTTCTAATTTGTCTAGATTCTATTTTTCTTTGGTTTTCTAAATTTTCTGAATTCTAGCTTGTTTTGGCTAGATTTTCTGAATTCTATTTTTTTTGGATTTTCTAAAATTTTCTAGATTCTATTTTCTTTTTGATTTTCTAAATTGTCTGGAGTCTATTTTTTTGATTTTCTGAATTTTCTGGATCCTTAATTTTCTAGATTTCTAGATTCTTTGTTTTTTTGATTTTATAAATTTTCTGGATTCTAACTTTTTTGGATTGTCCAAATTTCCTGGATTTTGTTTTTAAGAATTTTCTGGATCCTATTTTTTTTTGGATTTTCTAAATTTTATGGATTCTGAATTTTCTAATTTGTCTAGATTCTATTTTTCTTTGGTTTTCTAAATTTTCTGAATTCTAGCTTGTTTTGGCTAGATTTTCTGAATTCTATTTTTTTTGGATTTTCTAAAATTTTCTAGATTCTATTTTCTTTTTGATTTTCTAAATTGTCTGGAGTCTATTTTTTTGATTTTCTGAATTTTCTGGATCCTTAATTTTCTAGATTTCTAGATTCTTTGTTTTTTTGATTTTATAAATTTTCTGGATTCTAACTTTTTTGGATTGTCCAAATTTCCTGGATTTTGTTTTTAAGAATTTTCTGGATCCTATTTTTTTTTGGATTTTCTAAATTTTATGGATTCTGAATTTTCTAATTTGTCTAGATTCTATGTTTCTTTGGTTTTCTAAATTTTCTGGGTTCTAACTTTTTTTGGTGTTTTCTAAATTTTCTGGATTCTATTTTTTTCAGGTTTTCTATTTTTTCTAGTTTTTTTTTTGATCTTCTAAATTTCCTGGATTCTATGTTTTTTTTTTATTTTCTGATTTTATTTGAATTTTCTGAATTTTCTGATATATATTTAAATATATATATATATATAGAATTCTGAATTTTCTGAACTTTCTGGATTCTCATTTTTCAAATTTTCTAGATTCCATTTGTTTTTGTTTGTTAAATTTTCTGGATCATTTTTTTTATTTTCTGAATTTTCTGGATTCTATTGTTTTTGCTTTGATTTTTCTGGATTCTATTTTTTTTAGATTTCTGAATTTTATGGATTCTGAATTTTCCATTTTTTTCTAGATTCCATTTTTTTTGGGTTTCAAAATTTTATGGAATCTATTTTTTTAAAGATTGTCTGAATTTTCTGGATTCTGGATTTTCTTTTTTTTTTCCAGATTCTATTTTTTTTTGGTTTTCTATGTTTTTCTGGATTTTGAATTGTCTAAAGTTTCTGGATTCTATTTTTTTCCATTTTCTGAATTTTCTGGATTCTATGCTTTTTTGATTTTCTGAATTTTATGGATTCTTATTCTTTGCTTCTATAAAGTTTCTGGACTCTTTTTGGGATTTCCTGAATTTTCTGGATTCTGAATTTTCTAAATTTTCTGGACTCTATTTTTTTTTTGGAGTTTATGTTTTTTCTTTTGGATTCTCAATTTTCTTCTTTTTAGTATTTAAATAATTTCTGATTTTTCTGGATTTTGACTTGTCTGAATTTTCTCAAGTTTGAGTTTTCTTTTTCAAGAACCTGAATTTTCAGAAAACTCTCCTTTATTCAAGATAAATTAGCTTAAAGTAGGCTCCGTTTTGGGACCTTTCCTTTACTGGACTTTCCTTTGCAGGATTCCTGAAAAGGATGGCTCCTGTAAAGGAAAGTTCCAGCAAAGGAGAGTTCCTGAAAAGGATGGCTCCTGTAAAGGAAAGTTCCAGCAAAGGAGAGTTCCTGAAAAGGATGGTTCCTGTAAAGGAAAATTCCGGCAAAGGAGGGTTCCTGAAAACTATGGTTCCTGTAAAGGAAAGTTCCAGCAAAGGAGAGTGCCTGAAAACCATGATTCCTGTAAAGGAAAGTTCCAATAAAGGAGAGTTCCTGAAAAGGATGGTTCCTGCAAAGGAAAGTTCCAGCAAAGGAGAGTTCCTGAAAAGGATGGTATCTCCTTTACTGGAACTTTCCTTTACAGGAACCATAGTTTTCAGGTATCCATTTCTCCAACTATTCCTGGGCAGCAACTTCGAAATGAAAACAAAACAAAAAAATGATTTCCAGCTATTTTCAGATATTTTCAGATTTTTTCAAATATTTTCAAAAATTTTCAGACATTTTCAAATATGTTCAGATATTTTCAACTATTTTCAGATCTTATTCACTAATTTTCGACTATATTTGATTATATCCTCATTATTATGTAATAAACTCAAATAAAAAATTAATGAAATTTAACTCAAAATATTGAAAAAAAACAATTTAAACAAAATATTAGGAAGATACTAGCAACTTATAAGATACTTATAAGTTCGTTAAGTGCCTAAAGTGAAAATTTCTTCCATTAGTGGTCTCAGTATCGTGCCAATCGACACAAATGCGGATGTTGTCCGTTTCGAGCTCGACTACTTTAGATACCAATCTAGGAGGCTGGAGTTCAGGCCCGTGGTGTCGCGGTCGGTGACCAGCTGACCCTTCAGCAGAAAAGGTGGGTGACGGCTCCGGAAGGGGCCTACCACGAACGTGCGGCGCCAGGCCAGAGCCTGAGCTTTCGCCAGAGGCTCGAGGCGGAGCTTCTGCGGCCGCGGCAGCGACCTCGTCAGCTTCTCGTCGCGCCCGTTCGTCAGCGTCCAACGGTGGTGGACCTGGGCTAGATGCACCTACTGGGCTCCTGACCTTTTCAATCCCGATTGGATGGGCTTTGAATGGTCTTTCAGGTGGTGATGGTGCTGGTCTATCAGGTTTAGGGGGCCTAAGCGGGGGAGCTTTATAAGGCAGACTAGACCGGGATCTGGGATTAAGCTGATCAGGTAGAGACTGGAGCGTGCCAGGAGCAACAGCCCCCTGGGTGCCCTTATATAGCTGGACCAGCCGGTGCCGACCTCGATCTCTTAAGATCACTAGTTTTGGAGCCAATGATTTTATTTGAGATGTTAGACGCTCTTCCCCTCGATGCCCTTGGTGCAGCGATCGCTGGAGCTGTTTCTGCTGAGGGTGCTCTTGTCCTCGATCTTGATGCCGGGGATGTCGCGACAACTCGCTGTTGATCACCGACCTCACAACTGGTTCCTGGTTCGGCTGCGGTGGGATTGCAGGAGCTGCTTGGCTGCTCTGCGCACGCCACGGAGGAACACTACCTCTAAGAGATGGCACACTAAGAGATGGAACGGTTGTTGAGGCTGCTGGTAAACCTATGTTATTGTAAAAAAGCCCTTTCCTTTTATAAAAGGTCCCTGAACTGAACACTTCAAAAAACATATCAATTACAAATATGTTGTACCCCAAAAATGAGCAAACATCAAGGTTTTTTGGGAAAATTGTGGCGCACAAAAATTGGATATCAAACATTTAGTTTTTTTTTTGAAATTGTGTTGCGTTGTTTTGATTATTGGGCCGTTCTTTTGAACATGTCCGAGAGAGTCAAACGTGATGAACAATTTCCTGAGAGCATGTCCAAAACTACGTGAGCAGTGAGAGTGGCGGCGCCAAAACAAACTCTGAAGATTGATTTTGGTTGCTTTTGTTGTCCAACCCGTTTGCAGTTTTCACAAAAAACAATAACATGTTCCACGTTAAGATCATGGCTCAAGGTTTCCAACTTTTGCACCTGTTGCACTGTGAGAGTGCTGTAGGTAAGATTTTGATCCTACAAATTATAAAGGTTTTCTGCCTTTGCCCAGCATCCTGTTGCGCGTGGAGCCTGAATGGGTGAAATGGGAAAGAGAGAATAGGGGGGGGGGGCAGGGCTACCATTTTTGGAAACGTTCAAGGCTATTAAACGTTTGGTTTGGGGTATGCACAAAGATTGACAGCAACATCTCACAGGAAGTGGTATTTGGAGATTCAGCCATTCCAAATCCAGTGCACTGTGAGAGCTCCTTTTGTAGCGTTTTCTCTGGGAATGTACGGAGTGACACTGTTTGTAACAACCCATTGCTACCTTGAAGGACCTAAGTTATGGTTGCAGCTTAACAAAAAATAAAAACAAAATGTTTTAAAACAAATGTGAACAAAATTGCAGCTGAGCAACAACAAAGATGACATGGCTTTTCAATAAAACATTGATACTGCAGCAACGAGGTACAGTCAAAATTAGGCTTGTTGGGCTCAAAAGTTAACCCTATGCCATTTGCACTGTGAGAGTGTAGTTACCTATCTACCGTTATTGCCTTGATCTTCCTCAGTGCGGAGCCTGAGTTTCAGTTCGTGGGTCTCGAGGTTTGGAAAAGGGTGGTCCAGGGGGGGGGCAGGACGGAGAATCAAATCATTCATGGAGTTTTTGTTGGGTTATTGTTGTTCAGGCATGTGAACCACCAACTAGTTTGAATATGTTTGAATCTAACTGGCACTGTGAGAGTGCTTTGTTTATTGAATAAATTCCTCTGGGTCAAGGTTCTGTTTTGAACATGGCACACTTTGCTTTAACGTAACTTAAGGTCAAAACATGTCCCACGATGTAAACCATGGTGGAAGGGAAAGTGGTCTGAACAGTAATTAAACTATCTTCCACTAAGAATATAGAAAGCTCCGTTCAACAGTGGTGCAGCGCAATGCTGTGTTCATTGGATTTCTCCATGATTTGGTGATGTTTCTGTGGAACAATTCCAAGCCTGCCTGGATCCTATAATATGAATCCAGGATGTAAATGCATATGTGTATCAACCTGTATGTTAATATATCACATATGTATTATTACATAAATATATGCATATCATAAATGTACTATATATATATGTGTGTAATGACGCATATGATCAATTGTATACATGTCGAGCGTCTCTCAGGACTCAGCTTCATCCACTTCAACGTCCGGACCCATTTTAATTAATATAGAAACTCGTGGTCGCTGTGAGAGCGATACTAAGGCCAGGCAGGACTGACAGACCAGCACTGTGAGAGTGCGGCTGTCAGGTGCACTGTGAGAGTGCTGATTCCTGATCCTTCTCAAGGCGGTGGTAACAAACTCAGTCTGGCAGGCTCAGTCCAGGGAGCCTCCTACTATAATAATGGTTAGAAGCTACTAGCTACTGGCAGCTGTTGTGATACAGAGAATGCAGAAACTTCAACAGTTAAATTTTTAGTGGGTCGACATTTTTAAAGTCACAATGGGTGATTTATTGGATGGCAAAAGACTGAACCTTTCATTCAATTTCAGGACCCTGATGCCAGCTTCCTTAACAATAGACATAGACTTCAAAGGGTTGCCATCGCACAACCCCATTCAGACAGACATGGTTATGTGACAAACCATTCAATGTTAAAAATGGGCAGCCAAAAGCTTCATCATTCGAAGTCATTATCAATATAAAGCCTCAAACTAATATAATATTGGTTCACAATGGTTGAACTTTCATTTTTCTCAATCAAACATTGATTATGATTATGGTTGGGCATTGATTATGATTAAGCTTGGGCCACTGTGAGAGTGGAGGGCAACTGTGAGAGTGGAACCTGCATAGCCTTGCCATTCCTGCATAGCCAATGTAGCACCCAATGACCAACCATCACTCTCACAGTGATTTCCTATGATCCCTGCCCAGGCTGTGGTGGCAGTCCACTGGGCGCTGCACGCACCAATGTCTGGGCATCTCAGAACCTAAGACAGGCGTTGCTGAGTTTCTGTCAGTGTTCCAGTGGCACTCGCACATGAAGAGTGATGTTTTTTCAAGTGTCAGATAGATATCGATCAAACCATGCTTATCCCAAGCACTGATGCTCAGAATTGTCATGACCAAAACCCACCATTATGCACTATTATTGTGGCCCAAGACGGATGCAACCATGTTTGGACAATAGGGACAAGCTGCGGCCCTACACGAGACGAACAACCATTACAATCTTCACAGGCATGCCAGGTGATTCAAAACAGTTGTCAGGCATTGACAGAAAGACACATTGACATAGTAACAAATTCACGGGCATGTTGCATCTACTGAATCAGATGTTACTAGTCAGTGTTGTTGCTATTTATTTTGTTCTGCCTGTGCACCTCTCAATTCATCCAAGCCTGTGCAACCGAAGCCATGGCTACAAAGAATCAGAAGGGGACAGAAGCCACGGCTCCAAAGAATCAGAAGGGGACAGAAGCCACGGCTCCAAAGAAGGGGACATAAGCCATGGCTCCAAAGATTCAGAAGAAGGCAAGGCCATTGCCACAGCCAAAAGTTGGAGCAGCAAAAGCAGCAGCAGCACCACCAGCAGCTGCAAAACCTGCAGCAGCAGCAAAGGCTGCACCAGTCGAGGACGAGGTGGACAAGATCCTGGCAGCTCCCTTCAAGCCAATGCAAGCGACATCCAAAGCAAAAGCAGCCGCGCCACACAAAGCACCGCCTCCGGAACCAGCAGGAATGCCACCTGCGAAGCCAGGAGAAGCAGCAAGACCAGCAAAAGCGGCCGCGACACACAAAGCACCGCCTCCGGAACCAGCAGGAATGCCACCTGCGAAGCCAGGAGAAGCAGCAAGACCAGCAGTAGTTGCTGAGCCAAAAAGCCCAGCAGCAGCCACTGGCATCAATCGGCCGATGACCAGTGGCAAAAACAAGCAGATGAGCGAAGAAAAGCAGACGAGAGAAAACGTCAAGCCGACCACGTTTGAAACCACGCACGAATGGAAAGATTCGTTGGTTCGGGCGTCAATGCTGTCTAGCCCTACAAGTCCAAAAGGACATCAATAAGTGTTCAAACCAGCTCCTTTGTCCGTGATGTTTGCGCATCTCTGTTTTCACCCTAAAACTTATCAAGTGAGTGATGCCAGGTTTTGCCATGACAATATGTACTTGGCACCTGGAAGAAATTGCAACCGAGAAAACAAGGGATAGCCATGGTATAGACGCACAACCAGAGCTGCATCATAACCAGCGCGTCTTTTTACTGTAAATCTACATTGGCCAGAACAGCAGTGCCTCAAGTAAAGCAGGCGCGGAAACAACGCAACACGGCAACCCTATCAACATGAAGTTGTTTCGGGTGAAAGTCCATCAGACATACGGTATGTAATCATATGTTGTGCGCATACAAAAACTACTTTGCTTCGAGTGATCCCCACCATGGAATTTCAATGCATTCATTTTGACATTCTTTCTGGCATTCTATCTGACATATGTTCTAGCATTCTATCTGACATATATTCTGACATTCTTGCTGACATTATATCGGGCATTCTGTCTGGCATTCTATCTGACATTCTATCTGGCATATATGTTCTGGCATTCTACCCGACATATATTCTAACTTTCTAGTTGGCATTCTATCTGACATTGGTTCTGGCATTCTATCTGACATATATTCTGACACTCTATCTGTCACTCTATCTGACATATGTTCTTGCATTCTATCTGACATATATTCTGACATTCTATCTGGCATTATGTCTGACATATATTCTGACATTCTTTCTGACATTTTATCTGGCATTCTATCTGGCATTCTTTCTGGCATCCTATCTGGCATTCTATCTGACGTTGGGGTCCGGCAATGCGCACTGTGAGATCTGGGGCTCGCGGTTGGGGCCTGGCACTGCCCACTGGGATCTGGGGCTCGCGGTTCAGGTCCGGCAGTGCCCACTGGGATCTGGGGCTCGTGGTTCAGGTCCGGCAGTGCCCACTGCGATATGGAGCTGGCAGATGAAGTCCGGCAGTGCCCACTGCGATCGGGAGCTGGCAGATGAAGTCCGGCAGTGCCCATTGCGATCTGGATTGCGACGAGGTGGAGGACGAGGAGAAGGAGTAGGACGGAAGAGCCCTTATAAAATCTAACAGCCCTCACCTGGCAGGTGGGGAATAAACATTACATATGTATATAATTATTTTTATTTATGTATGATGTATAATACATATTTCTATGTATGATGTAAATTATATATTTCTATGTATATAAATATATATATATATATAGATAGATAGCTACAAAATGGTGATATATATATATATATGTATATATATATATATATGGATAGCTACAAAATGGTGATACATATATATATATATATATATGAACATACCTGTTTAATGAACGTGTGTATATCATTGTATATCATGTCGAGATGATGCCTAGGGCATGGTGGTGAGACAAAGCAACAAGCTGGGGACAAAGAAATATTCCCCAGTTTCAGCTCCACAACTTCGAAAGAAGCAATGTCAGCCGAGCCTTTCCCCAAAGACGCTGACAGCAGCGTGAAGAATGCCAGCGCCTCCGTCGATGTGACGGCTGTCAGCCCTTGTCAAACACTACTGCATTTTTTCCTGACGGTGTTTGGATGCTACTGGTCTTTGCCAGCCCCTTTGGATCTCTTGCCACGGCCTTTCCCGTTTCCGTTTCCTTTCTGTTTCTTCTCACCTCCCCGTTTGCATTTTTGATCTCTCACACATCTTTCATAGGCTCGCCTGCTCCCGAAGAGCGCCTTAGAAAGGCAGAAGGAACATGTTTGAAAATTCAACTTATGAGGTATGGTGTACATTGAAATCCAACAGTCAGAAACATGAATCAAAACATTGAAAAACAAAAAACCAAACAAAACAAAACTGTATTCTTGTGGAATTGCCATCGAAGAAACATAGAGGTGCCCTTCATTCTCTTTGCCAGCGAAGCCCCTTACTGGAGGCAAAGGCTTGGGCCCAGGACATACCGCGGCTGGAGCGAACTTGAGGAAGGATTTTCAGAAGGCCCTCCTTGCTGCAAAGGTGGTGGTGGTGGCAATGGTGGCCGTTTCTTCGACCTCCCAGTCATAGGCTTGCCTCCTTGTTCCATTCGGTGCCATGGTCGTGCTATGGGCATAGTTGGAGGAGGACCAACCCGAACAGGCTGATTCGCGCCAGGTTGAACCATCGGGCCATGTTGACCAATCAGCTTGGGCGGTGTCGCAGGTACAGGCTTACTGACTCCAGGTTGAACCATGGGCTTGGGCTGGACAGGTACACACATATTCACTCCAAGTTGAACCATGAGCGTGGGCTGGGGCGGTGCCACAGGTACACACATATTGACACCAGGTTGCACCATTGGCTTGGGCGGTGTCACAGGCCTAGAGGGCTGAGAAGCTTTGCGAGTACAGTACTGCCATTCACAGTTCCTGTCACAACACCATGCAGCGCGTTCACGAGGTTGGTCAGCAGCTTCTCCTGCTCATCCTCCTTCTTCACATTTGGGTTCTCGGCTGTCTCAAAGATTTCAGTGGTGGAAATCTCGTCTTTGGAAACCTGTTGTTCATCTTGTTCCCGGTAATAGCTTGCCTCCAAGGATTCGTCGCACTCACTGGAAGGCTCTGTATCGTCATCTTGTAGTCGTTCCTTGATCCGAGGATCCTTCACCTGCACTCCAGCCTTCCCTTGACCAATCGGAACATGCAAGGTGTCTACAAGGCTTTTCCTTTTTCATTTGCCCACCTTGGTCTTCTTCTCCCTGAACCCTTTAGGATTCTTTCTTTTTTCAAAAGCGCAAGAACCTGTGTCTCCATCCATGCTGGTTGAAGTGCCCTGTACTCATGGCAAACTATAGGAACTCTTCAGGTTCACTTGAGAAAATGCAGTTTGCAAACCCATGGTTGGAACATATTTTTTAATATTAAAATCGTTCAAAACACTGTTGCAATGAAACAAACATGAGGACACGAATGCGGCTCAATGAGCCGCAGAGGCATGTGAGCTGTTAACATGGGTTTACAACCTGCGGCTCAATGAGCCGCAGTCGAACGTTACAGCTAAGACAGCTTGCCTTCATGTGCTTCGTGTTTTCAATCCCATAACCCATGACAAGAGATACCTTTTTCAACCGCACCACGGTGATCTTGCCAAGAGATCGTAAAAAAGTATATGATCCATCCTGGCGATGGTAGCCATGCTGAACCCAGCAGGAATCACAACAACCCGAAACATAGCGGCACTTGCCGCATCCCTCAGGCTTCAACTTGAATCTCTTTGCACTCGATGGGATAGGGCTTAACTTGGTTCAAGAGTTATACTCTGTAGAGGGCCTAGAGGGTATATACGTATATACATATAGCTTCCGCATTTATTTGCAACATATATGGGCAATCTGTGTCACATATGCCTCCACAATTGTTTTTCACAAATGCGCAAATGTCCGTAAGATCTGATTTTGTGGAAAAAAGATCTTACGGACATATATTTTATGTCCGTAAGACCTTATTTACGTAAAACAAGATCTTGAAGCTTAAATGAAAGATATGTAATACATAAATGTAATGTATATGTAATGCAAATGCAACTGAAAATGTGTTCACAAATGTCCACATGGATATATGTATATGATCCTGTCCGCCTGTACTCTACAGAAGCCTGGCCCACATAGCTCTTGAATCAAGATAAGATAGGGCCTTTGCTGTGTTGATGAACCTTCTCTGTCGAACTCTGTGAGGTTGGCGCTGCAGGTCGCTTCAAAACTTTGGCACTCTTTGCTTTGGGCTCAGGGGTTGCCGCGCTCTTTGCCTTTGCAATCTTCTTTGTTGTCGCACTCTTCTTTGCTGCAGCCTTTGGCTTTTTCACGGGAAGGTTCTTGGTCTTGGTCACTGGTGGGTCAGCTTGAGTTGCTGGTTCCTGGACTTTTGGGGAACCATCTTCCTTCTGTACCTTCTCCTCAGGCTTCTCCTTCTGATCTTTCTTGTCCTTCTTGTCCTGGTCTCGGTTCTGCAAGCAAGCCGCCAACGCTTCGTTCACGGCAATGGCTGAAGTATCAGAAGCCTTCTTTTCAGTTTCTTCGGTTTCACTGGGTGGCCCGTCCATCAAAGCCAAATGTGGTCTTGACGAAGACATTCCAGGTTCATGTGGAGGTTGAGTTGGAGGTGCCTTCACCACTGCAATCTCAACGTTGGGATCCTCTGGGGGCGGGGCAGGCAAAGCAAGAGGTGTCGGTGCCCTTTGGTGGCCATGTGCTTTGCGGATGGGCAGGCCAACTGCAAGCTCCCATATGGGCCATGAACATCTGTGCCATCACTTGGCCAGCGGCCACGAAAGCTTCATGAGAAGCAGGTGACGGCGCCTTAGCACCTGAAACGTTGATTGTCTTCCTGTTTGACCGTTGGGATCAAATTCTCCATGGTGACGCCAGCAGGCAAAAGGCCGGGTTCTTCCCCATTCTGGTAGTACACAACCTCACTCATTGTGGCCATGAAAACCTGAGGCGACGGAGGCAAACTCTTGACAATCAGGTTAGGGTTGTCTTCAACCTTGTTCTTGAGGTAGTTTTTGACCATATCCTTGATGGTCAGGTAACTGGACCGCAGCTGCAGGTAGTCTTGGAACCGCGTGCTGTCTTGTAGCAACAGTACAGTTGTCAACATTGACATCGTATTCTCACTTGGTGCACGAAGCCCCAACCTGTACAATCTATCCATCACCCTGTTGCATTTCTGGGCCACGTTGATAGTCGCATCATGGAGTAGCATATCCCATTCCCTAGTGGTCAGGTAGTACGGGAAATAGTGGAAATCTTGAAGAACTTGTCGGGTCCCCAATCGTCTCATGCCAGAAAGGGAATCTTCAACTTTCACATTGATAGTGTTGCACAAAGTTTCCTTGAGTTCCTGGGTCCACACCTGGCTTCTCTGAATCATGGCGGCTGCTCATGGCGCGAACTTCTTGCACCACCTGGCTGCACTGCGTTGTCAGCATCGGCCATGTTCCTGCATGTCTCCAGGTAGTAGTTTTCCAAAGCTTGTAGCCTTGCGACAGCCATGAGGATACACTGACGCAACAAAACCCTTGAAGCAAGACCTACCAGTGAATGCTATAAAAGTATTCCTCGGGTTCAAAATTTCTCCTGCGCGGCTCTGTCATTGAGCCGCTGCATTCAAGAAAAAAATGGTTGCAGCCGATCCGTTCCAAACATGACGCTGTTTTGATTGGGATTGGCTTTTTAAAAGGACGATTTGCAAATGGTTTCGAAAAGGGTGCGGCTCAATGAGCCGCAGTTGATCTGTTCCAAGCATCAAACTGTTTTGACTGAGACTGGTTTTCAAAAGAACGATTTTTAGGTGATCAGTTTACTGCATGGTCATATACTTTATGCGGCCCAATGGGCCGCATTTTGAGGTAATAGATCCATATATAATAAAGAAAAATAAAACGGAATGCGCCACATAAAAATGCAAGGGTAGCCCCATCCTGGCTTCTGAACTTGACTGAAGGCAGGTGCACACTTGGTAGAACAGCCTGTTTCTGCGCAGTGTGTCTCAGTAGTGCCTGGTGGCAATGCAGAGTTTTACCTAAATCGTAAATTCCAAGCACGATGTGTTGTTGGTACAGCTGTTCTTTCAAATTCCGTGGTTCCTTCACATCGTGTATTGTAAATACGAGCTCATGTTTGTGAGAAGGCCATGGTGGCCAGGCATAGCTTTACCTACATCGTAAATTCCAAATGCGATGTGTTGTTGGTACAGCAGCTGCTCTTTCAATTACCGTGGTTTCTCCACTTCGTGTATTTTAAATACGAGCCCACATTTGTGAGAAGGCCATGGTGGCCAAGCAAAGTTTTACCTACATCGTAAATTCCAAATGCGATGTGTTGTTGGTACAGCTGCTCTTTTCAAATACCGTGGTTCCTCCACTTCGTGTATTTTAAATACGAGCCCACGTTTGTGAGAAGCACATGGTGGCCAAGCATAGTTTGACCTAGATCGTAAATGTTAAAACAAAGCAATGTGCTGTTGGTACAATTCTTGTTTTTCAAACACGGTGCTTCCTTCACATCACGTATGTTAAAACGCTTTCCACATCAAAAATGTTTACGCATGATCATGTAAATTTTGTTCACGTCTTGTTGGCCACACAACAGCCCATGTCACAACATCGATGGGTTTGCAAATATCACCATTACATCGTAACATGTATGCACGACAAGGTTCAGGAAATAAAAACATTCCAACTGCAAACGATACATGCGTCTTCTTGTGCCGTTTGTGGCACATTTCATATAGGCTTGCACACAAACCGCTCCGTCACAATAATGTTCCAAAATCACGCTGCGTGGCGCTCAAACAAAAAACAAAATCGTAAAATAAAAAAATAAGTTCCATAACTTTTTTTAAGTTAACACATCATCACCTGTTTCAACCATGAACTTACAGAACTTAATAAGATCAGCATGTTCTAAATGCTACATATATGTATCATAATTTACTCTAAAAAACTTATCGTTCTTAGGGTAACTTATAACAAACTTCACCTATGTTAAAATCAGGTTACAACTTACTTGTAACAACATATATGTTCCATAACAAGAAACGAGCCACCAAGTTTGGTCCACTTGTCGAGGCGGGCTGAGCTGGATGGTCAAGGCCCCTTAAAGACGGCTGCCAATTTGGGGGCGGATAACCCGGCTGCTTAGGCTCCTTTGGAACAGGGGGTTCCGCAGGAGTTGCAACAGATGCTCCTGAGCCCGCCGCGCCACCAGCGGGTGCTGGGGCTGCGGCCTTGCCTTTCGGTCCGGGCTGTTGTTGTGGTCCTACGTAATGGTAGTACGTGTCCCACTCTTCAACCCTAGGATGTTCTGCACCAAAAATTCTCTGGTTGATAATCCTTTTAGGAGGCAAATCACCCTGCTCAATTACTTGACGACCGTGTGCAACACCCCGACGTCTATCTAACCCGTTGTGAAGGTCCCACCCGTGAAAGGAAGTAAAGATATGATAGGCTATAGGGCCAAACAATTTGAGGTGGTTAATTCTTCAGTCTTGAATGCAAAGAAATTACCCACCGTTGGTCCTCGCTAGCTGATTCGTAAGGGATCCGGCGCAACCAGAAACCCCCGCTTATATTTCCCCCTGAGTTTTGACAAAGCCAGTTCTAGTATGCTTCGAAATCAACCCACCAACCTCTTCGAGCTTCTTGCCAACGTGTGGTGGCACCTCCCCTGCTGGATCTTACCCTGGAGCTTTAGAAGGGGCAGGTGGGGAATGGCCTACTTGGATAGGTTCAGTACCTGGGTCAACAAGATTAGGGCTAGTTGGTGTTGAAACTAATTCAGAAGTATCGGCAGTTGTGGCTTCTGTTGCGACACCGGAAGTGTCAGCGACCCCAGGATCAGGCACGGATGCAGGTGGTTCGGGTGCTTCGGCAGGTGGGCCTTCGGCTTCCACTTCTGCCTCAACAGTTCCTACTGAACCTTCACCTAAAACTGGATGGTCTGTCTCAACTTCTGGATCGGCCTGCTCAGATGGAGATGACGGCTCACCTGCAAGATGGTCTTGACCTTCTTCCTTTACACGATCGAGATCTGTAAAAGCGGCTTCAGCTGGAACTTCACTGTGATCAGCTTCGCCCGCGGCAAGATCTTGGTTTGCAGTGTCCGTCGCGACTTCGTCAGCGACCTCCTCTGGCACGCCAATCACAGAAAGAACGGCACCCACTGAAGACGCCTCCTGAATCTGCTCCTGCTTTACCTCCAACAGATGTCCTTCGGCTCGATCTGTGTCGGCAGCTGCTTCCTCAAGAGACGGCTCGGGCGCAACAATTTCCTCAGACGCGTCTGCCCAGGAAGCGACAGGTTCGGTCATAGCTTCCACAGATTGGGGAACAGGCTGCTCTACCCTCTGCGTCCACCGTTTCCTCTCCCTCGCCAGCTGGTGCTTCAGTCGCGACAAGATTGTCAGCGACCTCCTCAGACGTGTCTGTGGGCATGCAAAGAGACAGCGAAAAGTGCGAAAGTGAATGCCAGGGACCTAGACCAGTTGTGGAAGGAATAGATACCCCAAAAGGCAAAAACACGAAAACAAGCCTTACGGCTGATAACCAGACAAAAGGGGGGAAAAACCAAAGTGTTCCTTCCACAACCCTTTAAACATGCCAAATGCTCCCTCTTGCGCGGATCACTTGAGCGAAGCGTTGGGAGCGCAGCTTATTAACCCCATTCCGGTTATTGTTGGGATGGGAAAACTACCTACCTCTAACTATGGCTACTCTCCATATCTATAGCACAAGATATGGGGTGCAAACTATACATGTATTCGGATGTATCTACTTGGAAACTATTGGTACTCATAGCTATGCGCTGCCTACACTAGACCTACCTGCACATGCTATACATGGTGGGGCTCGGGGGTCGATATATTTCAACTGTTATACAGACAAATAATGAGTCAAAATGTTGAATGCCACAGCCTTCAAGGCAAAAGACAGATGCTACCCAGGGATCAAAGCAACAAACTTGCGCGTTTTTGCCATCGAGTCACCAAACGGATCAGTGTACCAGCGAAAACCCAGAAACAAAGGATCACCGTTATGAAGAACAAAGTCTCCCTTGTCCATGGCGCGGATTTTCGTCTTCTCATTCAGATCCGGCACATTGTACACCTGGGCTCTGTGTTGCTAGGCAAATGTTTGTTTGCCCTCTTTTTCCAAGAGTGTTTCAAGAAGTATTTTTTCAAGCCACTGTTCAATTGCAAGCAGTGCCATATTCTTGAGAACAAGTGTCAAATACAACAAGCTCAAAACATATCCAGGAAGCATACAGCTTGATATCGCCATTGACTTCACCAATCACAAAGTCCGTGTCATAGCAATCACTTGTGCCATTCTGCACCTCTTTGACAGAAGCAGGCCCCATTTGGAACTTGCCGTTTGATAGTTCTTGTGGAGTTGCATCCAGCGTTTGCCAGCCATTCGTCGTCTCCTGCATGCAGAATGCTGCAAGAGCATAGGCTTCTTCTCAAGTACAAGGATACAATTGGATAGCCATGTAGTCACTGCAATTGAAAGAAAGAATCATGCCGTGTGAAGCTGCACAACACCACACAATGGCGGTGATTTTTGACTTTGCACTAGCTGCGAGCCTTGCCACGCGAGAAGTACATCTCATTCCAAACATGGAAAGACCAAATGCTATCATCACGACCTCCGAAAGCGGGCAAGCTCGGCTTGTAGCTGGTTTTTAGTGCAAATTTCCATGTTGCTAGCCCGAGTCTAGAAAAGCAAAGTGGAGTTGGCTATAGAGGCAGTTTGGCAACCAAGATTGCGTTTTTTGGGGATTTGATTTGTTGAGTTCACTACTTTTTTGGCGGTCATGTTCCAACAAAGTTTCAGAAAACAGCTGCATTGAAAAGCATCGAACGGAGCCAGCAATGTGGCATCAAATGCAGTTGTGATTCCTCTCGGATCTTGCAGGGAATTTCTGAAGTAGACTTCAAAGAGTAAACACCCAGGTTTTCAAAAGAACGACAGCATCCAAATGATTCAACGTTCCAACGTGAACACTTCCCAGAAAAATCTACATTGCCGCTGGGCCGCTGTGACATGGCACACAGGGAATACACGCTTTGCATTTCCCAGAAAAGCCTCGGCCTCTCCGCAACCTTCCGATGTATATAGAACGGAGGCCCGGCCGCAGTCAGTTCTAGGTGATTTTTTGATCCTATTGTATCTCATGGGGTTCATCTCCGTCACCAATGGAAGCACTTTTTAGTGAAGCTGAGTTTGCTGCATGTGTAAAATTCAAAAACATGTGTGTCTTTCAATGTCCACCAATCCAATCGAATCTGGTCTCTGTGATGTGTGTGTTCATGTATATATGTATATGTGTATATATATATGGTCGAGAGACCTTCAGGCACTATTTTGTTGTTTTGCTCCTCTCTGTTTCCCTTTATTTTATTTTAATTCAAGTATATAATTTAATTAGTTCAATTATTTGAATTACTTTAATTATTTTAACTAAATGCAAAAATTTAAATAATTGAAATAATTAAAATAATTTAAAAAAATCAAATATGTTTACAATGTGAGGCCCCCAAGTTAACTTGAAGTTAAAAGAGATATAAATTGAGTTAGAGAAGTTAGCTTGAAATAATGTTACCTTATTTTAGCCCTATTTATAACTTAAGTTATATCTTTGCTGACTTGTTTGGATGTTTTTTTGGGTATGATTATGAGATTTTGGTCGTTTTATGGTTGTTTTGGAGAACCCTGTGTCCGCCGTGCTTTTTTGACGCTACCAGGTGGTGATTTATCACGGACGCACATGACCGTATCACTTTTAGTGTTGGTCCAGGCCGGCACATGGAAGTTCGCCAAGGACCGGTGGTCCACTATTTCCTTGTCGTTGCTTCGCCGGAAGATTCTGTACGAATCCCCATGGCGAATCGGCGCCAGCTTTGTGATGTACACATACAAGCGGTTGGCTTTGCGCAAGAAAAAGTGAACCAAGCACGCTTCTTGCAGGTTTTTGCCGAAGAGAAGGCAATCGTTTTCTTTAATCTCCAGCATTTGCAAGCGCGCCTTTGAGCTGATGAGTGTTCCCTCGATGCCCGTGGCTTCACGGACTTCTTCCAGGCTGAACGGGTTCAAAAGCTCAAAGCCACTGTCGAGGCTACTTCAGCCGGTTCATCTGGCTTGCTTTGAGACGAACCCTGTGTCCCAGGCACAGTAGATGCCTCTGCCCTGTCCATCAACGCACGAACACCCGAAGCCACCTTTGGCTGCGGAGGTTCTGCTGCTTGTCCAAAAATTTGCAGATTCGGCAATAGCGCATCAGGCTGCCTGGCAGCCGTCTGCCCACCCATGGCAACGGCAAAGGCTGCAACCGTCTGTGCCATTTGCAAGCCTGCCATGCGAGGATCCGGCAAACCCTGCAAGGCGAGCATGTTCTGCTGATTATCCAATTGCCTCTGCAACTGCACATCGCGATGTCTGTTCCGCAAGGGAATAGTGCGGGCAGTTTGCCACACCACATTCAAATCCACAGACGTGGGAGGAGCAGCGAAACCGCCAGGGGCCACCGCCTGTGCTACATCGTTCGGCAACTCTGACACCTGGTTGGGCAACAAATCCAAATAGCGACCTGCTGTTAATGGAATGCCAGAGTGTCCAGCACGTGTCACTGTTGTCTTCAAGACACTCTTGACCGTTTGTAGCAACGTCAGCAGCTGTGGAATTGTCAAATTGTCCTACTGTCCCACCAAAGAGGCAATGACAGCCATCGATGGCTCCGTCGGATGACGCATTCCAAGGTTGTTCACTAAATGCCGAACCAAGCGATCAACCCGACTCACTTGGGACATTTTCCGATCAGCAAGTACGTCCCAAATTTCTTGTGACAGGTAAAAGGGAAAACTTCTATAGTCCTGCATGCTCGCCCTGCGCAATTGGTGGTTTCCATCCTGCGCCATGGCCACCTCCTGCAAAAAGCCGACTTGAGCCATCAAATCCAGCGGAGTTCTGCTTTTCAAACCAGATGCATCCGTTTTGCAACGAGAAAAAGCCAACTTGTCTAACTTGTCTACCTCGTTTTTGCTTCAACCTACTATCTCAAGTTATATCTTGGCCAACTTTATACGTAAGTTAACATACTTATAACTTATGTTGCCCCCACTTATAACTTAAGTTACCCCATGTTATAACTTACCTTATAACTAGGGGGCACCACATTGTAATATATAATTAAGTTAATTTAATTTAAACATTTTATAATTTTGTATAATTAATCTAACTACACAAAATTATTCAGATAAATTAAACATTTAAATAAATCTAATTGGTTGAATTATATTATATATTTGTATGTATTAATTTCAAGATGCTCATTATTTTTATTTGTTTTGGTTAATTTACATGCTTTATTTATTAAAATTATTTCAATGAACTAGATGAATTAACATGAGAAAATTAATTCAATTAAGCTGCTAGATTGATTGTTTGAATTATGTTAATTAGTTTGCTTATTTTAATGAAATCAAAAAACGAAAATCAAATTATTCAAATTATGTCAATTATTTCAAATTATTTCGATTGTTTTGATTTTTCTCAAACACAATAATAATATTACATAAATTAACCTAATTAATTCAACTATTCTAGTTATTTGAAATATTTTCATTATTTGCATTACTTTAATTATTTGAACTAATTGTAATTGGAATAATTCAAAGAATTGAAATAATCAAAATAACCAAAATAATTCTAAGTAATTCAATCAATTAGTTTAATTTCACTATTCTAATTAATCTAACTAATGAAACATATTAAAATACTTAAAAAGATTAAAATGAATAACAAATGAAACTAATAAAAACTGAGTTCATAAAACAATTTAAAATGATTAAACTAATTAAAATAATTAACGAAACCAAATTAAAAAATAACCGATTTTAAAAAAATACAATGCTCAAAAGATGAAAAAATAGTTTAATTGAGCTAATTATACTAGGCGCAGATGACACGGGACTTTGCGGCCAATTTAGCCGATGTTTTTTGGCACATGACATGGGATGTATGTATCGATTTTGCTATGGATATTTTTTAACACATGACATGGGAGTTATGCGCCGACCTAACGGGCAGGTATTTTTCCATTTTATTGACAGATGACATGGGAATAAGTGATCAAATTTACACATGACATGGGACTTCCAGGAAGACACAGACGTCCAAGATGGGAAATGGCAGGTAAATTCCTTTAAATTCTTCTAAAATCTTTTAGATTCTTGTAAATTTCTTAAAACTCCTTAAAAGTCCTTTAAATTCCTTAAAATTCTTGAAAATTGCTTTACATTCATTCAAATTCCTTGAAATCCTTTTAAATTCCTTAAAAGATGAATTTACCACATCACATGGGACTTCCAGTTCCTTAAAATTCATTGAAATTTCTTTCAATTCCGTTAATTCTTTTAAATTCCTTTAGATTCTCTAAATCCCGTCAAATTCCTTAAAAGACGAATTTACCACATGACATGGGACTTCCAATTCCTTTAAATTCTTTTAAATTCCCTTAAATTCCTTGACATTCTTTTACAATCCTTCAGATTCTTTTAAATTCTCTAAACTTCTTTAAAGATTCCTAAAAATCCTTGAAATTCCTACAAATCCCTTTAAATTCCTTAAAAGACGATTTTACCACATGACATGGGACTTCCAGTTCCTTAAAATTCCCTTCATTCCTTTAAATTCTTTTAAATTCCTTTAAATTCCTTGACATTCTTTTACAATCCTTCAAATTCTTTTAAATTCTTTACACTTCTTTAAAAATTCCTAAAATTCCTTGAAATTCCTACAAATCCCTTTTAATTCCTTAAAAGACGAATTTACCACATGACATGGATCTTCCACTTCCTTAAAATTCTTTAAAATTTCTTTAAATTCCTTTAAAAACCTGTAAATTCTTACATTGATTGAAATTCTTTTAAATTCGTTTAAAACCGTTCAAACTCCTTATAATTCCTTGAACTTCCCTTAAATTCCTTTAAATTCCTTAAAAGACGAATTTACCACATGACATAGGACTTCCAATTCCTTAATTCCTTAAAAATTCCCTTAAATTCCTTAAAAGATGAATTTACCACATGACATGGGACTGCCAATTCCTTTAAATTCCTTTACATTCCCTTGAATTCCTTTAAATTCATTAAAGTCCCTTTAAATTCCTTAAAAGACGAATTTACAACATGACATGGGACTTCCAATTCCTTAATTCGTTAAAATTCCCTTAAATTGCTTTGAATTCCTTTGAATTCCTGTAATTTCTTTTGCATTCCTTTAAATTCCCTTAAATTCCTTTAAATTCCTTGAAAGATGAATTTACCACATGACATGGATCTTCCAATTCCTTAAAATTCTTTTAATTTCCCTTTAAATTCCTTGAAAAATGAATTTACCACATGACATGGGACTTCCAATTCCTTTAAATTCCTTTAAAATTCCTTAACTTCCTTTAAATTCCTTAAAAGATGAATTTACCACATGACATGGGACGTCCAATTCCTTTAAATTCCTTTAAATTCCCTTAAATTCCTTTAAATTCCTTAAAAGACGAATTTACCACATGACATGGGACGTCCAATTCCTTTCAATTCTTTTAAATTCCTATTAATTCCTTTAAATTCTTTTACATTCCTTTAAATTCTGTTATTTTTTAAAAATTCTTTAAAATTCTCAAAAATTATCTTAAATTCCTTAAACTGCCTTTAAATTCCTTAAAAAACGAATTTACCACATGGCATGGGACTTCCAATTCCCTTAAATTCGTTTAAATTCCCTTAAATTCCTTTGAATTCCTTTAAATTCCTGTAATTTCTTTTACATTCCTTTAAACTCCCTTAAATTCCTTTAAATTCCTTGAAAGATGAATTTACCACATGACATGGGACTTCCAATTCCTTTAAATTCCTTTAAATTCCTTTAAATTCCTTGAAAGATACATGACATGGGTCTTCCAATTCCTTAAAATTCTTGAAAATTCCTTTAAAAATCATGTAACTTCTTTTACATTGATTAAATTTCTTTTAAATTCTCGTAAAGCACTTAAAATTCCTTAAAATTCCTTTAAATTCCCTTAAAATCCTTTAAATTCCTTAAAAGACGA